CTTCTTCTAATTTATTTATATAAATGAAAGTTAACATTTCTTTTGATGTGGCTTTTTTCAAACTTTTGTCAACTGTCAAAGCGTGATGCTTAAAACTTTCTTTTTCAAGTTGAATTTTTCAATGTTGAGATCAGCTGAGTATATATTTGTCAATTATTCTGCTTTAAATTTTAGATCTGTTATCTGCATTTTTTCAATTTTAACACCACTCAAAAATCCAAACATGCTGTTTACATTATTCAAAACTTCAAATCTGTCACTAAGTTCTGTAATCATCCAGTCAATGATTTCTAACATTGCCACATAGTACACATTTTCAACACTTGCATGAGCTTCACTGTTACACAACTCATCGGCCAATTTTTTTTTCTTTCTTGGTTCCTTTTCTGAAGATGTTACATTATTCATTTTTGCTAACAATCTACTGTTAATTTGGTTTAGCCAAATTTTCAAATCTCATTTTTGTTATGAAACACCTTTCTGAATCAGAAAAAATTTTGTGGCCATGAACCAAGATCACTGAAATTAAAAAGGAACTTGGATGTCTTCTGAATACTAGTTGTGGGATCTGATCGAGATAGCAATTCTTCTACAGTTGCATTTGTAGGATTGAGGTTGAACTAAAAAACATTATCCTTGTTCTCTTCTTTAGCTGCCATGTTATCTAAAATATTAAAAATCAGCATTATAAACAAAATAAACATAATATGTTATTTTTTAATTTTTTTTAAATATAACTTATTTAAAGTTAGGTTTGGTTGAGATAATATTTCTTCAACAGCTTCATTTTCTTCACTGGAAGGACTGAGGTTCAAACAAAAAACATGTTCTGTGCTCTCATTTTTTTTAGCTTTCATTTCACCTAAAATATTAAAATTATGGATTAAACAGCTGGTTGAGTTTAGCTTTATAAAGTTTAGCTTTATATTCATCAGATTGTTTTTTGTCCTCATCTGGTTTTTCTTTTTCTGAATTTTCAGTGGAATTTTTCGCAGCTTTAGAGATAAATTTAGCAGGCTCTTTAATTTCCTTTTGTTTTTTGGCAATGTCCAATGTCCTGCTTTTCTTTGGTTCAGCTGCAGTTGTTTCTTTCCCTCCCCTTGAAGAATCCCTGCTGTGAAAATCCTTTGGTGCTGTTGATAGTTTGCTTGGTAATTTTTTAGCTGCTGGCGTTTGATGTGGTTCTTTAGCATTTGCCAAAACATCAAGTGAGGAAGTTTTTTTTTCAATGTGTTACTGATTTTTTTAGCAACAGGCTATACGGAAGACTTTGAAGAATGGCCCATAGAATGTGGTATTGAGCCTTCTGAAGCAGATATATGATTTGAAAATGAGTTAGGAATGTTTGAAACAAATTTAGACCTTCTTGAACTTGGTTATGATAACTCTATCATTTTTTCTGCCTGGTTTCGTTTGGTTTCAGCACTACGAGATCTCTGTTCTTTAATAAAAGTACTGAGAGCTGTTGGTGAAGAAGATCTGTTTCTTTGACAGACTGGGAGATGTTGTTCATTGAACATATCTGTAGTGCTATGACATAATGAGATTCTCAATTGGAATGCAACTGTTGGTTGAGTTGGTTGCAACTGTTCATTTCACCTAAAATATTAAAATTATGGATAAAATATAAATTTTAAAATATCCAAAGTTTGAAAAATTCTTAAATTTAACTTTTATTATATATTATTAATTCATCGCTTATGCATTGAATTTAAAATTTATTATCAAATTCCAAATTAATGAAATTTGAAAAAAAATTATTTTAGTCAGATGGAAGCATAATTAATTCACATTGTTCATAATGTTCCAATTTTCAATTAATATTAAATTAATTGAATAATAAAAAATTGTTTACCTGATTTTTCTTCTGAGCCGTTTTTATCACAAATATTAGATTTGCTAAATAACGTTTCTAATTTTGGCGTTAGTGACAGCGTATCTCTTTCTTTTTTTGTTTTTCTTTAGTAATTTATCTCTGTATTCGGTTCCACTAAGTTTTTTTCTGCCATCCATTTTATTTTCAAACACGAAAACGAATAAAAATAAACTAACAAAATATTTTCGCGGCGTGAATTTAATTCAAAATGGCGTGTCTGCAAAACTCAAATAAGCAAAAGATTACAAATAAAATAAAGAATCCGTTTTTAATATTTGCGTTTGTATTATAATGTTTATATATATAAAAAAACCATTAAAAATAGAATATAAAAAAGTAATACAAAAAAATCAAATTTACTTTGATCTAAATTTTGACAAATGAAAATAACTTTTTTAATTTTTTAAAACTTCTCAAACTTTGCCGTCCCTGAAATTTGCCACCCAGGACGCTTGCCTCCTTTGCCCCCCCCACCCTAGTTCCGGGCCTGCGCCCAACTCTCACATTCAACACCAATTCTCATCCTTTCAATTCAATAGAATCCAAACCAGATCCAGCTTGTTTGGTCCGTGGTACTGGGCCTGGCACGTAATAGACATTCTCAAAAGACTCTCCACACAGAGCTGGTTTGTTCATCACGTAATTTTGACTTGGCGTGATTTCCATTTTTTTGCAATTAAGTGATTTTTATAGACTTATTTTTTGTAAAATGGTCATTAGTATGATAATAAGTCAGATAGACATTAGATTAG